GCCTCAGCAGGGCAGAGATTTGGACAGACAGGGGTTTGTGCACACAGAAAACACTCATATCTGGCTGAGGGAGAATATTCAGGGATGTACATGGAGAACACAGAAGGCAACAGGCAACGTGCTGTACATAACTTAGGGGCAGGGTCTAGTTCAAACACTCATTGAGATCCAGAACAGGATTTGATTCCTTTGGAAGGAAGTTCTCTCTCGTGATACTTTCACACTGATGCTACTCAACAGCACACTGGAAACCAGTGACAAGCTACAAGGGAACACAGTTAAATATAATCTAGTTACTCCCTGAGACACACACAGCTTTATCACCATAGCAGAGTGTAATACTACCAACTATCACACCTGGCACTGCCCACAAGAGACATATTATCTTTATATGCATACAATATAAGAATTATTTACTGGAAGTTCAGAATTAGCAACTGGCAGAACGTCCCACACTCATTATTTGAATCATCTGCTGGAAACAATGGAAGAATTTCAACTGCAGTTGAACTCTTCACCTACAATTGAGGAACAGGGCTGGTTGGTGGAATGTAGCCAGTTCCCTGAGCTGTAAATTAACTTCAGTTTAATCAGAAATACGAGCTGACATTGGAACAGAACTAGAGGCAGATCCTGCAATATATCCTGGATTTGCCAGATCTTCTAACTCAGCTGGCACACAGGAGCTGTTGATGATACAGCCAGTAAGTTGGAAATGCTGCATCTACTCCAAATGGTTCTTTGTCTCATTTAGTCCCGCTTTTTTGCCCATTCACTTGCTGTTGAGGGTTGCAGAGATACTCACCAGCACTGGACTGCCAATTTTTCATGGATCCTGAAGCCAAAAAGAAAAGCAAACAATGCTAAGATGACTCATAAATACACAGAATTTTTTAGAAGTCTGCCATGCTTCAAGGGTACATTTTGGGGTGATTTAAAACAAAAAGTAGTTTGGGGTTGGTTGGTTGTCATATCCTCCCTTCGGCTTCGCTCGCCTCGCACTGAAAATGCCACAGAAACAGTTGTAAAGGGGACACGTGTACTTTGCAGGTATTTTTGATAACTTTGTTACTTTTGTAACTTGGCACTCCATCTGGAACTCTTCTGACCACATCTGCAGTTCTAAGCAGGTACAAAAATCAGTAGCAAACAAAACTGATGGCATACAGATAAGCCCAAATTAATCACTAATGGAAGCACAACTGGAAGACAAGGGGTTGGAAAAACAATTTAAATCAATCCTCTTAAGAAGGAAGAAAAGAAAAATGGAATTCTGCCATCAGCCTTGAAAAGAAAATCTCTTGCTCAATCTTACTGAAAAACTCTATAGATTCCTGACTATTTAGTATTTGTAGTGGGCTATTTTAGTACCTCATTTCAAAAAAGATGCTTTCTAACCAAGGATGCTGCTCACCACAGCTGTTACGGAGGTAATAGAATCATAGAATCGTTTGGGTTTGAAGGGACCTTGAAGATCATCCAATTGTAATCCCCCTGCCACTGGGGGGATGGAACTAGATAACTAATATCTGCTCAGCTCTCCACATCAAGCACTATTGCCTTCCTCTCATGTCTCTTCTCTAATTAGTGCCTCTTCTTATCTTAATTTAGGTATAATTCCCGAATTACAGAGCTGTGCTCTTGATATGTTTCACTGTTCCTTCAGAAGACAAAAGTCACTAATATTCAGTGAAAAACCTCATGCCTCAGGCTATTAATTGATTAACGGAAATTAAAGAAAAGAGCACGCAGGCCTACTGATCATTTTTCTTTCAGGTAAGAGCACTGTTGTTTGTGCTTGTTGTCTGTTTGCCCATGAAAACTCTGTTACCAATTCCAGTGGTAAAATATTCGTGTTGAAGTTTAACTCTTAGATGGGGACTGGGGGGTGCACACACAACAGTCAGAAAAAATACCTGACAGCAAGTTCCTTATTCCTTTAAAACTCTTTCAGAGAGATTCCCAAAAGCTTAAATGCTTGTTGCATATTGCCCATACTCCTTTGGGGTTTTTCTGCAGTCACTGATGCACATTTTCCCTGTCCCTGCTGGCCCAGGGACCGAGAACTGTCTCCTCTGGGAAAGCACACGGGGTCCTCAAGAGTCATTAGCAGGTGACAGATTCAAAGCTAAGAAAATACACCATTCCATAACATGCTCAGCTGTGAAACTGTGCACACCAGCCTGGCCATCTTCTGTGCTCATTCCCTCACACACTTTAAAAGCTTTAAAAACAATGCAAATATGGCAATCACAAATCACAAATTGCATCACCATCACCTACTGGTCCCTACCAATCCCTACCAATCCGAGGTGGGAACACACATATCAAACCCATACAATTCCTTGAAGCCTAGAGGAGTGCACCATCGTAAAACCTTTTCACTCAGGCATGAAACTCCTTTTCTGGACTCAGTGTGTGTGTTTGTTACATTTTTATCTCTTATTGACAAGCACTTGCTTTACCATTACATTTGGTCACTTCTGGTACTTCAGAAAACAGGAGAGTCAGTTCTCACTTGCTGCTAAAAACTGTGTCATTTTAGTTCCTATTAGAGTCAATTAGAGTGTTTTCATCATGCTTCAGGCAGAAGGTGAGGAAGTAATGGCAAAACTACCCAGATATGAAGACCATAGTTCAGATCCTCCTGTGTGTGGAGGTTTTTCCTCTCCTTTGGTGAGGAGAGCTCAGTCTGTGATGTGTATTTTTTATTCAAATAAACACAACCCCAAACACATTTCCTGGCCCAATTTTTTTGCTGCATGTTAAATATTCACACTAGTCAGTGTACATATGCCTGTCAAGTCTCAGCAGTAAAAAAAACATGACAGCATTGCTAATCAGACTTGTGGTTTCAGTTACACCAACACTCTTACAAGAAACAATATATATATGTATTTTGAAAAAAGAAATGACAAACCCCCAAAGTTGACTGCAGATCCACTCCACTGCCTGTTGTCCATCAGCTTTAGCACTAATGGCTAATGCTGTGTGGGCAGCAGATGGACAGTGCTGTCAGCATTCCAGCACTTCTGTTCCAGTGGCACAGCACAGGCCATCCTGCCTCAGCATCAGGCAGGATTCACAGTCCAGGGCGAGGATCTCACCATTGGAAATGCAGAACAGTGCAGCCCTTCTTGCTGTACTATTTTCAAATAGTTTCTAGACCATGAACCCTAGCCCTCTCTGAAATAAAGGAACATTAATGCCCTTAAAGAACACATTGTTTCAGTAGTATGTAATCTATTGTTTGCTAAAATATCCCCTTGCAAAGTGTGGTTGGTTTTTTTTGGTGTTCTTTTCTTTAGCTTTGTTTTTTGGAAGTCTAACTGGGAAAGAGGGGAGGGAAGAACAGTTCCAACTTACCACCTTGGCTGAACCCAGCCTTTATTGCCCAAGAACTGCTCCACAATTAGTCAAACACACATTTTGCAAACATTCCAATTTTTTAACGCACTTAAACATGGCAAAATCTTTTCAGCCTAAACTTTTTTACATATACACCTCAGGAACCTGGTATGGTTTTAGTGACAACTCCAGCACTTCTCTGAAACAACCTGCAAAATTTCATCTCAGTTATGACTAAAAAAAATGGCCTTATACACTGGCTTAGTTAAGTCACGTGAATTGATTTTTAACTGAAAATGTATTTCACAGTACCATGGCACTCTTCTGAAAGCTCCCTAATAACTAGAGATGCAAATATATATTCAAATATGTGTTTTTATTTCATAACCTAAAGACATTGGCTCTATGACTTTCAATGGACATGACAGAGTCCAGAGATTAAGTGATTAATAGCTATTCAGAGCAACAGCACAATTGCTTTAAAAAGGTGAGTGAAATGACCTGGAAATGCTATTCATTGCTGGCATTAAACAATATTAAAGTAATCTAAAAACCAGCAGAATGGCTAATCACTGGAACTCTCATTCAGGTATATGGACTATTCAAACAGGAAAAGTTAAGACACTGCACATTTTGACACAGTAAACTTGAACTCAGAGGTCTGGGTATAAACTACTGAAATTATCCCTGTTTCATTCAAATTTATAATTGAAAATAACATGAAAAGAGGGGCGTGCCAGTGTCATATCTTTGTAAGAATAAACTACTACTCTGCTTCCTACCAAAGAATTTGCAATTAAGGTGTTTTACCTTATGCCTACAGTTTGGTACTCCTGCAAGGTGAACTACTTGCCTAAAACAAGTGCCAAAATCATGGAGAATGGCATTTTTTTACAGACAATACATGTCAGAACGTTTTAAGCTGTTGGGCGGGGGGGTTGTGCTTTCTGCGTTGCGGGGTTTTTTTTTTCAGAATCTTACTAAGTAAAAATACATATTCTAATCTTTGATTTATGAGTCAGGAAATACTGGTATCTATCACTACCATGAAGTACTCTGTTCACAAAGATATGCTCAGTCATGCTCATCTGCACACACTGACACACACAACCTCAGTCAGCTGAATCGACAGTTCAGTCTCTGAACAGTAAGTGCTCCTCAGAAACCACTTTCACCTTTGGCCCCTTCTGCAGGGGCAGGACACACAGCAGATGCTAAAGGAAGATAAAGTTGCTGTCTGCCTCATTAGCACTACCCGTACAGAACTGCTCCACAGTGCAGGTCCATGCATTCAGGCATTTACTACCCTCAGGTGGGTGCTCAAACACCTCAGTGGTTCTACACCTCAGCTGCTCACCTGCTGTACAGAAAGCTTCTCCTTTGCTGTTGCTGTCTTCTTCCCTGGAGGTGGTTCACAGCAGTGTGGAACCACATCCACAGACAGACAAATACTGTGGAGACATGCTATGAGCATGGAAAGAATGAAATAATAATCAGCAAAAACCTTAAGGATTTTCTCTGACATAAGTGCAGCTAATATTTCTCCTAGCTTTGCATAAGGAAGCAAAAATGTTAGTCTATAGGAGAATTTTAAAGGGCGGAAAACAGGAAGCAAATGGGTCACCTGAACTAAGGAAAAAGTAGTGAAACACTCGCCCAGAGTCGCATTTTCCCCTACAAAGTAACTTCACATCTGACTGTTGCTGTGTAGCAGAACGTGTGGCAGAGGAGGCAGGGCAGTCAGACTGCTACGAAATACTCGGGTTTCTTTGCAGAACAGCAGCCAGGCCAGGGACAGCACCCTGCAGGAACCTCAGGCAGAGCTGAGTACCCAACAGCAACAGTTCCAGGGAGCAACCCCCTTTCCCTGCTGGCTCCTCGGGAGGCTTTCCTTACAAGGCATTCGATGAGCACAAAGGTAAGAAGTGCACTGTGTGAATCCTCCAAGCACTGAAGGACTCACTAGGCCCAGGACACACCTATTCAGCAGCTGGATAAACTGCCTGGCCTAAGTATTCTGACCCAGCTGTGGGACATTCAAAGGCAACCAGACTGAGTGTGGGCCTGACCATACTCAGATGTTCCCCAGAAAGCAAACACTGCATTACACGGAGGCCTCAGACACCATTCATGTGTTAGGCCTCACTCTGTGCATGCACCTACGTATGAGGGCAGACTCTGCACTTGTGACCAAATCAAACTGCACAGAACATGGATAAATTAATAACTGTTCTACCACAGAAGAGAAACACCTAAAAACTCAGAATATTATTTAGCTGAAAACAAGGCAAGAAACAAAACTAACATGCTTCTAAGGGTATTTTTTTGTTCAGATAAGAACTTCTCGTAGAAACATTTCCTGGGTCATGAAATGTGGTGTTTGGGGTTGTGTCTATTCAGAAAGTCCTTTGTCTCTTAAGAAATAACCTCTTTGGTAGGTTAGTTATCGTGGGTTCTTTATTGTGAGAAATGTACAAAATTAAATTCATTCTTTTTGCTTCTTTACTCCTAGAGCCTCAACTCCCTCTATCATCTATCTAAAAGAGTTTTGTATGCTGTTTTGTTTTTATTACCTGTAGCCAGAACAGAGAGATTTCTCTGAACAATTTTTCCTGCACTCTGTAGGCCTTGTTTGCCATGATTTCAGAAGTGATAAGCTGTGTGAAAATATGCAATGTTTATACTTGTTAGCCGTGTGTTTATAATTATAAGGTTTGAGAACATAATATGTTTATAATAAGAAAGCCTTGAGAAAATGGAGATAATGAAACACCTGCAGATCTCGGGACAAGAGGCTCTGCATACCAAGTATGATCTTAGACCGCGTGGACAAAGAACCAGGTCCAATAAATAAAAGCATGAGACGTGTGCACAGACTGAGCTATCCAATCACCTTGTGAGCATGTACCCGGAACAAGCTAAACTGTATAAAAGTTAACTGATTTAAATAATAAATTGGACATTGCTTTGATCACACTGATCGTTTGCTTTGTCTCTGTATCTCCCCGTCAATAATTACCCCTGCTGTATGAAGCAATCCTTTCCCAGAAACAATGACCCAATGTTTTTATTATCCCCAGTATCACTGTTTTCTTTGTGTTACACCCTTCAAGAAGAAGCGGGTTATTTTCTTCCCCCAGGACACAGTCCAGTTTCCAGTGCTGGGTGCCACAGTCACAAACAGTACCAGTTTTAACATTGGTTTTAAAGGCAATTCTTTTAAACACCTTTACCAGCATCATCCCACTTATTTGCTTGTCTCTTCAGCAACCTGCACAAGGTGAGTAACGTCTTTTCCCCCTCTTTTGCTTTATTATACAAAATGTAATTGAGGAAACTTGTTGTACCTTATGAGCAGAATTCAGCTGTTGGGTAAAATACCAAGTAATAAATAAGATCCTACAGACTATATGTCAGTTATGACTATTTGCTCAAGCTTTCTTCTAAGCCATACTCACTGTTAGGCTCCTCAGCCCAGATATTCTGCCTTGGATAAAAGAGAAATCCCCTGCCCTTGAGTGTCAGAGTGCCACAGAGTCCAGAAACAGCAGAGCAACGAGCCTGCAGCTGTCAGGGGAAAAGCATCAGGCAGTGCTCAGTGACAAAACAGGACCTGGTGTGCATGCTACCAAAATGACTGAGTTTGGATGTTTTACTGTCTGGATGCCGCCTTTTCATGCGCTTTCTGAATCACCTTCATGCTGTGGCAAACACAGAGCTACTGCACACTGTGCCTTCAAACCCTTTGTCACAAACCAGCAGTGAATCAGAACTCTGAAAAGAACACTGACATCCAACAGTTTCCTCAAAGATGAACTTAATCTCTAACTAACCATCCAAACGACCCAAGACTGTGCCAGTGTGGGTGCAGGCTCAGCTTGAAAAGATACAGCTCGACCTGTCAGCGAGCACAGGTCTGAGCCACATCATTCAGTTGAAATAATGGGAAGAAAACAGAAGCTAAAGTCTATAATTAGTCAGTTTTCAATTTCAAAAAGCAAAACTTGCACAAGACCATGTTCATGATGTTAAAGTTTTACAGATAAAGTGTACATGTATAACATACACATATTTGCATAAGGTTTATTTACTTTGAAACCTAAATACTTCAGTGTTCACTCCTCACTGCCCCAGGAAAGCAAGATGTGCCAAAGACTCTATACAAAAAGAACAATGAACTTATGTTCTCTGAAAATATATGAGAAGTCTATCATAATGTTTTCCAAATGTTTGCCAGTAATTTTAAAACTATAAATCTTAAAATTATCTAAAAATCACAGAATTGCATTTGGCTTATAAGTATCACAATACCGGCAGAACAAGTTAAAAAAAAAAAAAGTCTGAACAGCCAAGAAGATGGAAATGTAATTTCTTCTCAATTTGTCATAGTTCAAATAAGTATTGATTTAAAAAAATGCAGTTCTTTTAAAATATCCATTACTACTTGACACAAATAAGAAAATTCCCTATGTGAACACAAATGAAAAAAGTAAAATTGTTCACAGCAAATACTGTATCTTACCACAAGATGTGTACTTCACAGCAAATCATGCACAGAGTATACTTAGGAACAATTTTGCTCAAGCAGAAGTCAGTGAGAGTATCACTAATTTTGTTTCATGATACTTCACTACATAACCAAAAATCACAGGAAGATCAGAGCCAGCCCTCAGTATCTTTAGGTGCAGGCCTGCAAAATAATTTTCCAGGCCTCATGCCAGTAGGTATTCCTCACATAACTAATCCATATAACTCTGGAGAGAGCCAGCAAGGCGATTCATCCTGGGTGTAGGTTACCTGCTATCTGCAAACCTGGATATTCAACTACATGTCTCTGACACGTCACCAAACCATAAATCATTTAGTGACAAGGTGGTACTCCAGGGACAATCCAGATCCCTCACTTTCAGCAGCAGTGCTTCAAACAATGAAGCAAAGATCCATGTGCTTTCCTTTTACTTTCCTTGGCAAAATAAGTCAGTTATGTATGCAGGTTTGAACTGGCTATGCTAAAATTATCTCAAATTCTGTCTGCAAATCATTCCATGTAGTATCTACAAACACTACACAACTTAACTTCAAATGTGGGATGTGGTTGTCCCCGTTCCTGGAGGTTTTCAGGATGCCACTGGACAAGGTGTTTATAATCTTACCTGGGCTCCCTTTCCCACGAATGGCTGGACCAGATGATCTTGTGAGGTTCCTTCCAGCCTGATCTGTTCTGTGATCCTCTGATCTTACAGCTGTAAAACACAGCAGTGGACACTGAGAAGACAGGAGCCATCAGCCCCTCTGTGCAGATATGTAGGCAGATGAGGGTGGGGGAGGGAGTGAGGGAAAGATAAAAGCAAGAAAAGAAATCATATCCAACCTTTTCCTTATTTAAGTCACACCCTTATCACTCACCTCTGCACACACTCTCCCTGCCATTAGTCTAAGAGGTTCCATTTGCAAAGGCTCATACACTGGGTTAACGTGGCAGTGATTTTGTAAGGAGGCAGAGGGGCCTCTGTGAAAAGAGAGCAGAAGCTGCCCCCTGTCAGACACAAAAAGCTGAGCCAATCTTGCAGACACCAAGGCCAGTGAGGAGGGGAGAATGAGGAGGAATAGCTGCTGTGCCTAGAAGGCAGCTGCAGGACCCACAGTGGCGCAGGTTTATCCTGAAGGAATGCAGTCTGTTGACAGGACCCACAGTGGAACAGCTCATGAAGGAAAGTGCCCTGATTTCTGATTGGAATTGTGCCTCATGGCCATACTCCCTTCCATGTAAGGCTTCACTATCTAGGTGACACATGAAAACCAAACAGCTATCAATCAGACACAGAGGCCAAATAAGAGTCACACGCTGTTAATACAAAATTGCTCCTGTTACACAGAAGTCCTGGAGAACACAGAACTCAGCTGTGAGCTGGTAATGCCTGCAGAGCACTCACCAACACATTGCAAGGCACAGGATGGCTCTGAATGAATCTGCAGGAAATAAGGCTCTCTGCTGAAAACTGAGAGGACATGAAATAGAAAAGTAGCAGAATTATACAGACAGTAATGCCCTGATAGCTGAAAAGTGGTATTACAGCTTACAGGTGGGGTCCTTCAGAAGCCACACAGGCTGGCCTGTAACAGACTGCACAGAACTTTAAAAACAACAAAAACAGACAAAAAAGACCAGCCCCCAAACCACTTAACTACTAAAGCATTTGTGACCAAGAAGCTAAAACTAAAATTCTTATCCCTCCCAACCAATGGAGTATAACACACTAGATTTTTTTGTAGCATGTGCAAGCCTGGTCTCAGATGTCTATTTGACTAAGTTTAAAAACTTACTACTTCCATATATTTCTTAAAAGTCATGCTAAAGCAGCTGGTGGTATATATATAAATATAAACATATAAATATATATATATATAAACCTTTCCTTACAGATTTTAGCAATCACAACTTCAGGTTGATTCCTCCCCATGAGTTTTGTTTGTCCCTCTTTACCAAAGTTGCTTTCCCTGAGAAAACCCTGTTGCTTTACAAGCTCACTGTGTACAGGTGAACCTGGTGAGATTATGACCCTGCCATCACAGTCGAAATTTCTACCAGCTGCTTCACCAAGTCTGACACCATCAGCAAACAATCCCATAGTTTGTTTTTTCCCCTTGGAGAAGCAAGCAGAATACATGTTTCTTCTCCAATGCACCTATCTGAGCCACAACCTACAATTGTGCAATCAGGCAAGTAGGTAACAGGTCAACTCGTGAAGATTCTTTTTATCCCTTAACAGGAAAGCTAAAAGAGCAGGAACCTCTGACTTGATATGTCTTGTTGAATTGGAAGCAGGTACAGAAGGGCACTGGGAACATGTGGCACCTAGACTTACCAAAATTATTTTAATTGAAAATCTTCACACTGATGAAAACTCTTCACACTTTGAGATGGACAGGGGAATTCTGGAAATGAATTCCAACACCAGCATGCCTTTTGACAGCACAGTGATCTTTAAGCCATGGCCATCACGTCTGCCAAGCACTTCCAACTCATCTCTGTGCCATTTCTTCACCGTTTCAAACATAAAACAACCTTCTGCAGCCTCTTGTACATTTCTGCAAAAAGCACACAAGAAAAATTATGGAACTTCTCACAGATAGTTCTGCAAGATTACTATCTAAATATGATTAAACCATCCTCCTCTTACGTTGTGATTCACTGTCACATCTCCAGGCTATTCATCTCTTGATGTAAGGATCACATGGCTGCTGATTACCGTGGAGACAGTGCTCGGACTATATAATATCCTCACCATAGGACAGTTGTTTTACACTCATTTTTAAGCAGAATCACTGTTATATTCACTGAGACATGTATCATCATTAAAGGATAAGCCAAAGATTTGAGCCCAGAGTTTAAAGTGAAGTGTGTTGGAAGTTATAATTACACATAAAAATATAAATTTTAACAGGTTTTAATCCCTACTTAGAATGAAAAAAAAAGTTGTCAAGTCTTGGACTTTATCAATATGACTTTATTTTGTGTAGGTTAACATTTCTGTTATGGGGGGGAAAAAAGGCAGTTTTGCAGAAAGCATGTTATTAATTATGCTTTATTTAATTCCATTTTTTCGGATTTTCAGAAAGGTGTTTAGCTGGTTATTTACATTTCATACTTGCCAGAGGAGATAGTTTTAAAATTTCACCCTAAAAGTAGGCAGGGAAGATATTTCAGTCAGTAGAAGCATAAGCCCTTCAGACTGCTTGGGTTGCTGTGTTTTTTTGAACTTGAGGTAAGAGCTTATATACGAAGAGCTGTGCACCACAGAGTAGATGATGTGGGGTCCTATGGCCATGCTGCTAACTGTAAAAACTTTCAAAAGTTTCAATCTTCTTGCACTGAAAAAGTTCAAGATGTTAATGCTAAGAGACAAACTTCTTCCAAAGAAGTTTCACATCGGTGAATCTGACTAAATTTACATAATGTTGACAGATTAATTCAAAATAATTATAATAATTTTTTACATGGCTGATATTCACCAACGTGTATGACAACATTTTCAAGCAGTGTATTACTCCTACGACCTCCTCTCTACCTGGCCATGCCCGTGATTTCAGCCACTGGCCACACTAAAATGAAACAGAGCAGCAATTTGCTGTCATTTCATACACTGACTTGGGGTGTGGGGTTATTTTTTTATTTAGCTTTTGGCCCTGTTCAGAAACAGAATACACTGTTGGCTTCAAAAGTATAGCTGAGAACACTGAAAACACATTTTTCAAGTCTCAAGTCAGACTTAGCAATTGTTGACTCTTCTTCAGGTGAATGAGCTCTCTAGCCTCTGCTGACCATAGCTTAGAGACAAATTTCAGGTGCAAAGTACACGTTTAAATGAGGTGAATCCCTTCCTTGCCCTGAGAAAGCAGCTAGCCCCTCCGGCAGCTTGTTTACCTTCCCCAAGCCCTTTTCCCCATATTTCTCCCAACCACATTCCCTTTGGCACTCAGGACAGGCACCCTGACATTGTGCACATAGGAAACACTAATATATAATTGTATCATATAATTGCTTTTCATAATGCCCAGTGAAGTCTCTGGACTTTAGACAGATGTCTAAAACAATCATTTACTGAGTTGGTTAAAGCTACTAATTTAACAAATAGTTTTGAAGTTGGGGAAGTAACTGCTGCTGTTTCCTAGAACCCTTGCAGAACTACACTGACAAAAACTGTCCTCAGTCCAGCTGCAGGTTCTCTGAGTTTGGCTTCTTGATATACCTGAAGAAAGAAAAATAAAAATGCCTTTGTTTGTATCTTTAAAAACTCATCTTAGAAATTTTTATTCATCATTGAAACTGTTGAAACTGGTCCTTTTTTTACAAGCATGGTACCAGATACATGTTTGGTTCAAATCACAAAGTGAGGGGGCTGAGGGGACATTATTTTGTTCATGACAGTGCAAGGAGTATTTTAGTCATATGCAGTTGTCCCTCTCTTTAGGTGAGACTTCCTTAGCCAGGATGTGCATGTAGGTACATGCATGAGCTCCTGACACCCTTCACCAATATTCTCCCTCATTTGAGCAGACACTTCGTGGCAAATGGCCTTTGTCTTCACCCTCTGCTTCCACTGCAGAAGCAGAGATTCCACTTTGCCCAGTTATCTCTTGCAATAATCCTTCACTAAAGCTCAAAATGCTGCAGGCCAGCAGAAAGCTTGTTGCAGCTGGGCTTCTAGACCACAGCACTATCACGATCGCTCCCTCGACCTGGGAGCTGGAATGATCTCAACACTGGAAAAGCAGGTTAGACCCCAAACTGATCTAGGAAAGTCTTTTGAAAACGTGCGTTACACGGGGTTGAATTCTAGAGGAATTTTCCTTGCGTTACGTGCTGGACAGGGGTAAGATGAAATATTATCTTTTAAACAGACACAGAAGATAGATAACCACCTCCAGTGCCGGTAAAACCAGAGCCACGCCACAGAGGGGGAGGAGACTCCCTTTTATTCACCTGTTACTCACCTGCGGTCACGCCGAGATCTCCCTGTCACTGCTGCAGCAGCTCCCAGGGAGCCGCCGGTCCCGGGGCTGCCCCTGCGGGTCGGCGGAGCCCCCCGAGGGCCCCGGGGCCATGCGGCTGTGGGAGCGGGCGGTGCCGGGGGCCCGGCGGCGCTGGGCGCTGCTCCTGCCCCCGCTGGCCCTGCTGGCCGCAGCCCTGGCCCTGCGAGAGGCCGCCCGGCCCTGCCCCGCCGACCGGCCCCGCTGCCGGCAGCGCCTGTACCGCGCCCTGGAGCTGCCCCCCGGCCGCGGCATCAACTGCTCGGGCATCGTCCGCGGAGACCGCAGGGCCATCGAGGAGGCGCAGCTCCGCAACCTGGAGGTGGCGAACAGGAGGGCTCCGCTGACGCCCGGCCACTACCTGAACATGACGAGGGACTGCAGCGCCTTCAGGCAGACCCGGCGCTTCATCGAGTTCCCGCTGAGCCAGGAGGAGGCGGAGTTCCCCATCGCCTACTCCATGGTCATCCACAACAAAATCGAGATGTTCGAGCGGCTCCTGCGCTCCCTCTACGCCCCCCAGAACGTCTACTGCGTGCACGTGGACAGCAAGTCCCCGGCCGCCTTCCAGGAGGCCGTGCGGGCCATCGCAGGCTGCTTCCCCAACGTCTTCGTGGCCAGCCGCCTGGAAAACGTGGTCTACGCCTCCTGGTCCCGGCTGCAGGCCGACCTCAACTGCATGCGGGACCTGCTGCGGAGCCCCGTGCCCTGGCGGTACCTGCTCAACACCTGCGGCACCGACTTCCCCATCAAGACCAACGCCGAGATCGTGCGCGCCCTGAAGGTGCTGCAGGGCCGGAACAGCATGGAGTCGGAGAAGCCCTCGGCGGCCAAGCGGGCGCGCTGGCAGTTCCACCACGAGGTGGGGAAGGCCATCTCCCGGACCGACATAGAGAAGCTGCCGCCGCCCCTCAACTGCCCCATGTTCACGGGCAACGCGTACATCGTGGTGACACGGGGCTTCGTGCGGCACCTCTTCGAGAACCCCACGGCACAGAAGTTCCTCGAGTGGTCCAAGGACACCTACAGCCCTGACGAGCACGTGTGGGCCACCCTGACCCGCATGCCGGGCGTGCCGGGGGCCGTGCCCCACAACGACAAGTTCCAGCTGTCGGACATGAACGCCCTTCCCCGCCTGGTCAAGTGGGCGTACCTGGAGGGCGATCCCAGCAAGGGCGCGCCGTACCCGCCCTGCACCGGCCGCCACCAGCGCTCCGTCTGCATCTACGGGGCGGGCGACGTGCCCTGGATGCTGCAGCAGCACCATCTCTTGGCCAACAAGTTCGACCCCGAGGTGGACGATGCCGCCATCCTGTGCCTCGAGGAGCACCTGCGCCACAGGGCCCTCTACGGCCACGGGCTCTGAGGGGACCCGAGGGACCCCCGCCGGCACTGCCGCCCTCCCGGGCCAGCACTGCCGCCCTCCCGGGCGAGCCCCGCCGAGGGCGCCGCGGGGACACCGGGAGGGGATCCCTCTGATCCCCCCAATCCCTGCTGGGCACGGACCTCGGGGACAGCGAGAGGGGATCCCCCTGCGACCCCCGAGCCCTGCCGGGCGCGCACCTCGGCGGGCCCCGAGGGAAGCACCGCGGTGACCGCGCAGGGCTGGCCGGGGCTCGGCGGAGGGAAGGGCGGGCGGGCTCAGCTCTGCCCTGCCCTGCTCTGCCCCCGCCCCGCGGCTCCCGCCGCCCCTCCTCGCACAGACCGGCTGCAGGAGCGCGCGGGGCGTTTTCTCTTCCCTTGCCGGGCTTTGTTCGCAGAAGTGACCCCAGGGCTGCTGCTCGTACCCGGGCAGGGCCGGGGCACGGGCCAGGCACCTGCACGTCCTGCCAGGAGCGGAGCTAAAAGGGGGATTAATTTGCTTTTCCACGAAGCACCTGCAGCTCCCGCCCGCCCCTGGCACCCGGGCTGCTGCTCGTGCCCCACTTCAAACCTTGACTCTGTCAATAGCCATTACAAACACCAGCCTTCAATAAAATCAAATAGATACTGAAACAGATGGCGTTTCGGTATTCTGTGTCCTGTGGTTCCCTGAGAACGGTCGTGCTCCCGGGCAGAGCCATTAATCCAGTTAACCCTTCAGCACCCCACTTCTCCGTGGGAGAGGGATGCTCATGTGCTCAAAGTGTGCAAACCTACATTGTTCCAATAGCTTCATCTCTCTTTTCCCCTCCCCCCCAGGGTATTGTTGTGGTATTTTGGCAATGTAATTATCATATCCAGTAGTAGATGTGGCCATTTACATGACCAAACCAATCATCCAACACAGTTTTCTTAAGTTTCTAGAAGCCGAAAGATTTGTGAACTTCTGTATTTCACCCACGTGTATTTTTCTCACCTTCTTATACTAAAGCTTGCCACTTTGCATGAATCCAACAGCTTCTCACTACCTAAGGGAATATGCTGAGGGATTAATTCCATTGTCTTTATACTACCAAAAACCTGGTAATTTTTCTTTCAGTAAACATACTCACCTTTATAAATTTAAGGTCTACGGTGGAGAATTATCGTTATACAAAGAATATCTGAAGCAATTCCATAGCACCAGGCTACATTTAGATGAAGTTAGGACTTCAATCACACAGATCTTCAAAACATTGATTTAAATAGGAGGAGAAGACAAAATAACTAAACTTGAAAAGGTGTGTCATTGCAATTTTGTTAGACATTTTAAAGTGAACTTGGTTGTAAAGTAGTGATTTTTTAAATGCCATGATGATTTCACAGCAAACATTATTGGCAAGAACTCCAAGTACTGATAAGGAAAGTTCTCAAATATAAACACTCGAGGTATCATTGGGCATTTATTTATTCAGAAAGAGCAAATACAGTAATAGGATTGCTGGTCCCAGGGGGGAACTCTTTCCAATTTATGTAAGCAGACATTCGCTACAGAGATTACAGCTTTATCCTAACCTGACAGTGACACAGAAAATTCAAAAATGGTTTCAGCAGCAAGTTCAACACTACATCTCTCCATGTCTAGTACATTTTTTTAGAACAAACAGAACTTCTTTGCCTACTCAGGGTAAGAACTCAAGTCTCCCAGCATAGCAGACTGCATCTAATCCCTGCTGCCTAATCAGATTTTGCTTGTTGGAGCTCTTTCACTTACTTTAAATTAACACTTATTAGCTCAAAATGGTAAACTACTGCCAGTGGGTTCCTTGGGGGACTGGGATATGTTCAAATTTCTGGACTAAATCAGGCAGAGCAGGGTCCCTGTGTTTCTAACTATAGCAAAGTGTTGCCTTTTCCCCTTGGAAAATGGAAAAAAGAAGTGCACATTCATGGAGACAAAAAAAAAAATCCCCATACTTAGAGTTCTAAAGAATTGCATCAAAACCAGACCCATCCATGAAATGGATGTCTGTAAGAAGATCTAAACAATTTATTTCTCAAAGAACCTTCTACAAAGGTGTTTGGGGGGTGGAAGGAATCCCAGCCTGAAATAGTGAAAGATTATTGAATGAGGGACCTCTCTATTATTTTGAAAATGTATGTAAGATATATACTTGCAAAGTTACTTACAGATTTGTTGTCATTTTTATCCCCTTCGCTTTGTAAATATGTTTAACTTCTTCAGCTCAGAAACATGAGGTATTGCTTGTATACACTGTTATAATAAGTGTTTCATCTACTATTGACAGACACTTCCCTGACACAAAAATGTTACAGATGGAGAGACAGAGACAAGTATTTAGATCTGGGGAAGGGGAGGAAGTGCCACTTCAAATCTGTTCTATGGTCACATCCAATTTCCTTGATCCAAAGAAAATTTCCTGGTTTTGAGGGTGTTATTACTCACAATTCATCTCAGATGATTTGGCTGCAAAAACAAAGGCCATCTTGTGCAAATTTATTTTCAACTCACCTCCTTTTAGTAGGGACTTAATTTCTTCTGAAAGAACAAGCCAACTCCCAAATTCTAGAGGTGAACTAAGACAAAAAGATTCTTACAAAGGAATGTTCTCAGCATTTCCTCTTCCAAAGACATTAGAAATGTCAGATTCATGAGTGCAGTCACATGTCAAATCAGTGATACAGAAAAGAAAAAAAATATTTGTCTGCCTAACATTACAAATGGCAATAAAAAATACGACTCATCTCTAATAGAGAACTTTGCATTCCAGAGATCTCAAAGTATCTTAGGAATAAGATATCTGGCATCTCAGAAAGTTTGCAACAGAGCACGGAGAAATCACGTAACTTGCCATGGTTGGTTGCAGAACTGAAAAAAGAATAAACTTGCAATAGAGTAGGACCAGCTCTAGCCCAAGGTAGCACTAGCACATCAGATTACAGGGTCACCTCCAAAACCAGCTTAAACCCCATATGAACTTCATCAGTGAAATAACGGGCTGTCCAAATTGGAAATACAGTCCCATCAGAAATATTAGCTTTGTCTAGTGAAAGTCTAATGCTTCTGTCTACAACTGTTAACCAACAACCTGTACTTTAAATAAACCCCCAGTTGTTTAGGGAGGAAATGTTTCAAATTTACCTTTCAAGATATGCATGGGAGGAGGATGAAGCTGTAATTCTGAGATCTAATACCAGACTTATTTTTCTAGTTTAAACGTGGCTTTAATTTATGTTTTATTTCCAAGTGGTTTTCACTTTATTTTTACAAGAACAACTCTATGTGAGCTCCATCTGGCTTAATACATATTGACATAGCAGGTCCACAAACAGCTCTTTTTAACTCTAGTTAGGAGGCTCTCTTTCCTTCTTGCTTTGGATTTCTTTCATACTCTACATGATTAACTCTGGGATGTCCTATAATAAAAAGGTGGGTCAGTTAAAATGAATTCAGAGGAAAATAGGTAATAAATTCAGAAGAAATGAGAAGCAAGCACAAATAATATGAACAAAATACCAGTAAAGTGTTTGCAGCCATGAGCAAAACTGATTCAGGAAGCAGTGTTAGGGTGTCTTTTTTCTTGCCATTAGAGTGACCATAAAACACTAACAAGACTCTCAGTGAACTATTTTCCACTTCTCCTACTTTTCTCCCCACCCTGAAGCTTCAGACTTCAGAAAAGCAAAACCAAGTCACTAGTACTTTAACTGAAATCCTCCCTCCTAAGCTGCTGAGACCCTTAAACGCAGTATCTGTGCTCCAGACTGTAACTTCAGTCTGCCTCACTGTGCCAAGTCATTGTGCAAAAGTACATAATGATCCTGATTAAACTCGTCTTCTGGAAATTCATCATAAATTCTTCCCGCTCTCCCTTTACTGTGTGTCTGTGATAATACCTGAAGGCAGGTATTAACAGCCCTGCCTGAGCAAACAGCTTACACCAGGGAACATCCTGGTTTGCACACCTATGAAATGGACAAAATCCTTTTTCTTGGAAACCATGTTTAAACAGGAGGTCACCCACGGCCCCTCCTTATCCTTCCCTTTTCTTCACTTTCCTTTAGTTAATTTACTTTCTAAATAGAAACATTCATTCCAGCTCAACATCAAGGTGTAAAGGTTTATCTTTTACTTTCTTGCTGCTGCTGAGAAGTAGAAGCAACTTTCTTGAAGAAAATCAACAAAATAAATGAATAAACAAATCAGTCCATAACACACAGGCAAAGAAGAACCAAATAGGCAGCAGCAAATATGCTGGTACTGTAGCCAGTGAGATGATTTGTGCTCTGCTGGGTATTACAATAGCTTAGAACAACAAAGTGCAGTTCACACTTTCAGGTGTAAGTTCAACAAATCTTCCAGGATCACAAAGGACATTAATCATATGAACTCGGCAGGATTAGCTGAAATTCAAACAAAAAAATAGCAAGTGGCAAGGAAGTTATGGAGAGCAAAGCAACAAAAAGCAGAAAGAACACTGACAGCAGATTCCATTAACTTCCCTTTGCTCCCCCTCCTTCAGTGAACTGAAACAACCTCCACATAAGGAACAGATCCGGGACCTGGACAAACACCATCCAAGAAACAACATCAGAGCCAAAGAGATTGTGTGCTACCAAGTTAATGTCAGAACTTAGGAAATCTGGGGAAACTATATTATATTAATGATTGTTTTTAAACAACGTTTTCCAATGATGACTCTTTCAAAAGTTTTTAAATAAAAGTTTATTACAGAAATTATTTTGAACAAAAAAGGCAACAGTATCTGTTGTAATTTAAAAAAAAAGTAATGTTGTATTCATGCCCTATAAAGTGAACCGAAGAAATGCTACAGGTATTTCTTCTGCTTCATTCTGTGACGCTCTCTAGTATGGATTAACTCACATCTGCACCACAAGAATTCAGGATGAACAGTCTCTTTCCATGCTTCTCTCCAGAAAGTGCTGCATATTAACAGAAAATATTGCAGACGACCCACAGTTCTGTTCATTCTGCAGTATTGGAACCAGTGTCTAGGAAAGAAAAAAGAGAATGAGACTAATACATACCCCCCCGAGTATGAAGAGAACCAACAGCATGTCTAATACCTTCCCCAAGTTCAAAAGCATTCCCCAGGCATTTCAGAACCTGTTCTGCACCTCCCCTACTTCCCCCACTGCCCTCACTGTCCTGCATGAACTGCTTGTGCTGCTTCCCCTCAGTCAGCCCAGCACACAACTCCAGGGCTGTGCACACACACCATTTGCTATGAACACGTTAAAATACTAAAAGCTTTGCTCTAACTTGTAGTGATACACAAACACTTCACTGCAGTCAGCCACAGGCACATCTGCTCATGATCTACTACAGAGAAAGGCTTTTGCACACCCAGCAGCACAAGCTCTGATGGAGTGTGGGCTAGAGCTTAGTCTGCACTTTGAAATAGGTGCAAGAATGAGCACGATCTTCATAAACCAACTGAGAGCAACTCTCTGTTCTGAGCTTTTGTCAGAACCACCAATTAACACCAGTGCAACTTCTGATAATATACTGTTTTTAGAGCTATGGAAAAGGTATGTCACTCCAAAATGGAGAATGACAAGGCAGTGTTTACTGTGTTCCTTCAGCAGGAAAACCTCTCGTGGGAAAAAAAACCCTGTAATGTTAATAGCAACCTTAAGTCAGCCAGTTCTTTAAATCTTATCTGCACACTTTATCAAGAGTGAGCAGGATTAATACTTGGAAAGTAAGGTTTCTTCCACTAGCTATAAGTGCACAAAAAAAAAAAAGGTAGGATTTTATGCTTGGCTGAGACCAGAAGTTGAGAAAACAATAAATTCTGTCACCTCTTTAGAACTACAACTTGAAGTGATTATTGTAATCATGCCAGAATCAGGAAGCTATGAAGAACTTGTTTCAGAGGTCTGTGGGGTATTTAAATAAAGCTTTTCCCATTCTCAGTTCTTCCTTTTAGCATCACTCTCCAAGGACAAAACAAGTGGCACCATTTCCCACATTTTTAGCAATATTCTCTCACATTAATGGTTTTAAAAGTTATAAACCAGCTTCCCACAAAAGTCACCAAATTACTTTTTCCAGTAAAGAATTTCAAGGAACACTGACAAAAGTAATCCAGATATGGAACGTAAACTTTTGCAAGCAGTGTACGTACAGTGGACCTGTTAGACAATATATAAGTCTTAAAAACACGATTTGCAAACACTGGCATAAGCTTCTCATGTGCTTGTGTCTCCTACTATCAAATTCAGCAAAGGATTGCTTGACAGTTTTCTCAGATAACTCCTTGCTCAGACTGTTGAAGCACTCTTTGGATTTAATAAAGCACGGTGCTATCCTAACAAAGAGGCTAACAGTAGAAAAATCACCACACAAAAAGTACCACTACTGACTTTCCAATTGCTCTAGTATGTGCTTCCCAACAAGAGGTGCACAGCAGGCTCCAACACAGTCCTACCTCTGGGAAGCATTTAACTTGCTTTTGTTTCCTCTCTCATCCCATGTAAAAGGGACTGCAGAGCTCTACAATCAATCAGACATTTGGCCAAAGCTTTCTATAAATGATCAAGTCTTGTGTCCCAGCTTATTTATATCATATTCCATACTTACTTTTTCCATCACATGCTACAATTTTCACTTTATCCACTTTCACAAGTTCAGTGACCTCCCTAAATTCAACGTCATTCAGTACAAATGTCCACACGTTGTCACAGAACCTGTATGTATTCAGAGACCCCTTAAAAAGACAAGAGATATTTTCTGTAGGACACACCCCAAAAGCAACAGAAAATATATTAAGTATCTACTGAATTATGTCCCTTCTAGAACTAGATTTGCCATAAAGCCCCCAGTGAACCTGAATGCAGACAACAATTCTGAGGGAAACTGCAGCTTAAATGCCCTCCAGTGGCTGAACTTTTCAAGACCATGACAGTCTACCCAAGGGGAAGCTGCACAGGGAGGCCAAGAAGTTTTACAACCTTTCTAATGTGCATAAAGCATAAGTATCAGAAAAGATTTCTTAAAACACTGGGCCATAAGAAAAATAACTTACAGCAGGGATCTTAACAAGATGTGAAGTCTGCAGTTGTTGAAATAAAGCACTAGTTTAGATAAATCATGACAAAACTGCCCTGTGTGACATAAAGGGGTTCACTCATGTTTGATGTATTACTGAGGATGTCTATATGTGAACATTTTGGCTTTCACCTTCACACCATTTAAACTGATACCCTTGAACTGAAGCTCCAATTAACATTTAGTTTATCCACTAAACACAATCTGAACAGTTTTCCATCCACATTACATACACAAAACAAGTGAAATGTGTCAGAGAAAAGAAATTATGCTACTTTTAACATATCCATATTGCTTAAAAATTTAACATCTTAAGAGCTCACTTCATTAACGTGTTCTACACAGACTACAGAGAAAGTTAACAGGAAGCTGGTTTTTGTGTTGTTTTTTTTTTCTCAGAATTACTTTCAAGCTGACATTTAACAACTTGCTGCTATTTCATATTAATTAGGGTAGCTGACTGGGAAAAAACCTCAAACTTGTTTTTCTATGATACCTACAGAAAAGAGCTACAAAATGATCCAGTGGAAAGGTGGATCTAAAACCCTCTTCATGTTACAGATGTGGCTGAAAATCTGTCCTCATCCCACTTCTGCTAAGTACAGCTAAAAGAAGCAAAGTCTCCCCCCTAATCTGCAAGACACTGAGGGTGACAATGCTGTCCATCAAGGCATTGCCCTCTTCCCTGTTTTCATCCACCCACCGATATTTCTGCTTTTTGCATTCTTTCAAAACATCCCTGGCAGAATAAGAGAACAAGCCTCACAACTGCATGGGGAATACACACGTAAACAGTCATTATTTCAGCATCAAAATGGACCTGCTGAAGTTTTTGCTAGGAGGACACAGCTTTTAATGACATTCTGCATCAATACTTAGTTACTGTATCTCAGGAGAAACTTTTATACGTGATTATCTTACCCTGAAATTCACTCTGTTCCTGACTCGTTGTGCCAGAGCCGAATTTATAGCTTTATCAAACTGAAGTAGCACCTGAAGGGCCAACTGAGGTGTGATTTGCTGAGACTAAAGTAGTTTCAAAAAAAAAAAAAAAAAGAAAAGTTTTGAGTTGTTTCAAAGCAAACTCAAACATGCAGTAAAAGTTAAAAAACATCAAAACAAAGTTATGAAGTTCACATGATGTAGATCTCTAGAGGAATAATTTTAAAAAATATTACATTCCTGTGTTTATTTCCTTCTTTGTATTTCAATTCTAAGAGAAGAAATGATGTGCTATGATGATTTTTTGTGCTACACAAAGATTTCTTCTAATAAATATTCACTGGAAATAAACAGAAGTGCTGTAAATTGATTACAATGTTCCAGCTTAATCTGGCTGTTCATTTACTGGCCACACAACAGGAGATCATGCCATTTACATAAGACATTCTCCTTCATCCAGGACATAAAGAAAAAACCATGTCAAGTGAATGGAGGACAAAAGGCTTTTGATTTCAATCAGTAAGTTTTCCAAGCCTTGGCCATAAATGCCCCGATTTACAGCAACTACAGAACCGTTTTAATGACTAACCCCTGTTTGTACTGAGCTGATCCCCATCCCACACACCTGTATGAGCTCGTCCAGGCTCTCCTGGAGGCTGTTGCCCAGCGTGGTGTTCCTGTACAGCTGGTATGCCATGGTTTCACCGGCTCATCCACGGCCCTGCACCGGCGGTGTCCTCGCTCTCACTGAAAACAACCAACCAACCAACAATAAAGAGAACCCCGTCCCGGCACAGCGGGGCCAACACAACCGGAGAGGCCAATTCGCCAACACCGCTGCGGGAACCGCGGGCATTCCCAGCACAGCCGGGCCCTGCGCGGCCCCGGGAGGTGACGGGAATCCCGGGCATTCCCAGCACAGCCGGGCCCCGCGCGGCCCCGGGAGGTGACGGGAATCCCGGGCATTCCCAGCACAGCCGGGCCCCGCGCGGCCCCGGGAGGTGACGGGAATCCCGGGCATTCCCAGCACAGCCGGGCCCGTTCCGGCCCCGCGCCCCCAACACGGGCGGCCCCGGCCCCGCCGCACTCCCCGCACCGGGGAACGGGCCGGCCCCGGGAAGCCTCTTCCGTGAGCCCCGATCCCGATCCCGGCCCCGTTCCCTCCTCACCGCTGCTCACGGGCGGAAGCGCCGCGGCCCCGCCCGGGCCGGCCCCTGACCCGGAAGCGGAACGGGCCGATCCCAGACGGACAGACCCACGGACACGGGCCTGTCTCACACGGACAGACCCACGGACAGGGGCCTGTCACACACGGACAGACACACGGACAGATACACGGACAGGGGCCTGTCACACACGGACAGAGGCCTGTCACACACGGACAGACACACGGACAGGGGCCTGTCACACACGGACAGACACACGGACAGACACATGGACAGACACACGGACAGAGGCCTGTCACACACGGACAGACACACGGACAGGGGCCTGTCACACACGGACAGACACACAAAGAGACAGGGGCCGATCTCAGACAGACATACAGACGCGCAGACACGGGCCGATCCCACACGGACAGACACACGGACAGGGGCCGGTCTCACATGGACAGACACACAGAAAAAGAGACAGGGGCCAGTCTCAGACAGACATACAGACGCGCAGACACGGGCCGATCCCACACGGACAGACAGACAGACACGGGCCGATCCCCCGGGGCCACCCCCGCGCCCGCTCAGTGACACCCCCGGGGCTCTCGGCAGGGCTTTATTGACTCGCGGGTTCCCCCTTCGCAGGGGGGCTGGCACCCCGCGACCCCTCGGAACACAGGAAACAGAAGCTTATTTAAAAAGAGTCATAATATTCTCTTAAGAGGTAGGTGAAGAGTCCGGTACTTACATTTTTTTATATTAAAGGGGCAAAGGAAAATAGTCACATCGGTGAAGAATGGTAGCAGCCAAATCATGCCAGTTCTGTTATCCGTGATTCACAAGCTGTGCTCTGTGATTACTGCAGCTCCGTTGTGTTAAATACTGCCCACTTCCCATATCACACATACTAGAGTTTACAGATACTAACTGACAATGTAATCCTGCTCTGGTAACCCTTTATCTACCATTCAACCATTAGAGCACTCCACTGTTCAGCCCTGTCTTGTTAATGATGACTAGGAAACACTGCAGAACTGCAAGAACGTGAGCATCTGTCCTCCATGAATTCTTCTTTATAATTCTTAACCTGGAATTCCATGTCATAAATATTAACTATCAGCTGTGCAAGCTGAGCAAGGAGCATGGTAAGAGAAGACTTGACTTTTGGAAAACACTCCAGCAGCTTCTTCTCAGATTATTTTCAATACTAAAAAGAAAAAAGCCCATTAATTTTAAATCAGAGTAATCTGGGCAGTCCAGATTGCAAAACTGAAAAAAGATCTAGTTGAGCAAAGAATGGTTTTAATGTCAGTGATCTCAGTCATGCTTGAAGGGAATCACGAAAAACTAACATAACTGCACCCTCTTCTCTTCACAAATGCCCTTCTTTCCTGTTAGCTCAATATGAGGAATGAGACTTGATAAAGGGAACAGTGCAGTTCAGCTTAGAATTTTGAAGCTAAGAAAGCTGCAGCACAGGTCTTTCAGAATACAAACACTTAAATATTTGTTATACTTCAGAATGCTACTCTGACCAGGTGTCCTTAAAAAGTATTAATTAATTAAAGCACTTATTTCAAGCATCTCCAACAACCAGTCGGTGAAATAAGTCCTAGAGAATGACCTGCATTCACAAGGACTGAGTAAAAATTTTCACTGAGAGCTTTGTAAGACTTTGCAGTTACAAAAGGCACACCAGCTGTTATCCCTCTCCTCTGTTCCTCACATGAGGCTTTTCTGAGGGAGACTGGAATGACTTGAGAATTAAAGTCATCTCCAAAAACAACAGCTTTTGAGAAGACATGATTTTAAACCATTTTTCTAGACAGTAAATGTTGTATAAATCCGTAGGATACACCAACAAAAATTTGACACTGAAAGAAATTCGCTTTTCACTGAGAAACTTTGTGACAGATTGAGTTTAGAAAGTGCCCACTCCCAGTGTATCTCCCTTAGTTTCAGTTCAGCACAGATGTTTCAGTAGATGCCACCAGTGAAGCTGACAGGAGCAGGCACCAAGGCCACCTTCTCCTCTCTATGACACGTGGAGGTCATGTCATTAGATTGACCTGTAATCTCATCTTGAAGTGACACCAATGACCTGCTGGAAGGTTTGAGGGTGTCATTAGAGCACTTCAGTGTGTGATGCAAGAAATCTGCTGCAACGTGCTAACAAAGACAGGTTCTGCCCCAGTCACGTGCAGTCAGAGGGTAACTGTCAGTACAGCTCCTCACAGCAGTCAGTGCTATTCCTCACTGAAAATAAAGGAAAACATGATAAACTGCATTGTTATGAACACAGTTACATGTTATTCCAACTAGTTCCATGCTTTTTGGAATAAAAATTCTCCATTTCAACATCCCAGAAGCTCAAAGACTCCAATCTGCTGCAGCACTAAATCCTTACAGATCCCTTTCCATTCCTTTCCAACATAACATGGTTCTGCCATCCTACACAGGACATCAAGAACATTCAATCCAGAGTCTACTCACATCAGTTTTTAATGACACTTTCTACAAAATCCCTTTGCCACTTCTGAAGACTTACCCTGTTGCAGAAATCATTTTACTTAATGTCACATCCATGGAGAGTCCACTGGCCCAAACCTTCTCTCAGTTGTCCACAGCAGTAACAGGAGACAGGCAATGACTTATTGCTGTGCATTTATATATAAACTAACAAGACCTCCAAGGAAAAGGGAAATTAGTGACTCATGAAATTACCTTTTCTTAACAGTGCTCACTGAATTCTAGCAACATGAGTCTTACTTTTAGAAGGAAGTGCCACTGAAAGGTGAATTCCCTACAATACTGTATCTTATCACAAAGTTTATTCAAGTTTTGAAATCGTTTTTATTAAAGTACGACATTCCAACTTTTCATGTTTTTAATTATTAAAATATATTACATTATATTATAGATTTCAAAAAAGATAAGTTTGACAAAACATTACTCATAACTTTGGGACCACTTTGTTTTTTGTAAACATCCGCCTCACCATTCAATGATGAGCTGCAAGAAGTCAGAGGGGGATAATTCTTTAGTACACCTCTTTCTCAGGCTGCGTATCTTTAGGGACAGAAGAGCTGTTGTGCTCACAACAACTTATACTGGAGAAATAAACCATTTGGGAAACACATACACGTCTCCAAAAGAAATCAAACTCCTGCAGCATGAAACTGTGGACTCACTTGGCCAGCAGGAAACACAACAACAATCCCATCATTTGGTAAATATGGCACATAGAGAGCACTGGCTTCTCCACACTGCACTATACACAGAGGGAGGAACAGGGCAGAGAGAACTACAACCCCTCCACTGAGAATAAACCTTTCTTCAGTTAGGAAAAAATGGAAATGAGATCATCAGAATGCTTACTGTTTAGCTTAGGATGCATGGAAACCCAGTAAAAATCAGGTTTGCATGTACATACACACCACACTGTCAAAGGATCAGAAGGCTGCAAGTGCCCAGTTTACTGACTAAACTTGACATTAATCTGGGTCAACATGGAAACTGAGGCAGGAGATAAGACAGCCCAAAAGAAACTGTTAGCATTTGTGCTCTGCCCCCAGAGCAAGAGCCAAACCTGATGGAATGTATGCAAGGCATCTTGACATTGGTATGGCCTCTTATACAAGTACACCCTGTTTATTAATCTCTTTGAAACTACTGTAACAAAAGAACTTTGATCTCGAGAGGAACATCTTCAAACTGCAGACTTAACCTTCCAGAGACACAGGCAAGCTGCCCTCACCTGACATCAGTGTGCTCCCAGAGTCTGTACAGGTATCACTAGAGACAGCAGATTGTTAATTGCAAAATCTTGACCCCAGAACTCTCTCTCAGCTGCTGTGACACAATTACTGTGTCGGGCAGTAATTTGGTTGAACACAACCAGATTTTTTTCTAATAACGTAACTGAGTAACACTAACTTCAGATATAATTGAGAAGTGATATTTTTTGGCAAAGACAAAATTGTGAGCACAATAAACATCAAAAGCAAAGATTTAATATATTTGCTAGAACATTATATTGCTCAACTCCTGAATGAATTTATTTGCATGCACCTGTCCTTACAGGGAAATTGCAATGTTTATCAGAAGATGTTACAAACTTCAACATATTCCCCGCTGCATTATGATTGCCTGGATAAACGTATAAACAGTAGTGATGTGTCCAAGAACACCTCTTACAGACACAGGTTTACCACCGTTGTGGAGAGCAGAAAAACCCCCAACTTTTAAATCACTTTTGTAAAAGTAAAGTACTGCTGTATCACGTGCCAAACTTAAGAGCTTTAGAAACAGATGTTTCATCTCCAGGGATGACACAGGTAGCATAAGACTCCCCATACTTCTGCCAAAAAAAATGGTATTATGGCTGGAATAACTGTGTAACTCCCAAGTTCTACTGAGTATGACCAGAGTTCCTACTACGGACAACCAAGGTTCATCCAGGAAGAACTGCAATGAACTCGCTTCATAGCAGGAGCTGAGACAGTCTGGATGTCCTGAAGCAGATCATAAATTCACAACTTCAGCTGAGAAAGGTCTGGTACTTTACTAGTCGTTCAAACAGTTCAGCTTCTGTTGTGGCTCAGGCTTGGACCCTTTGGCCAAGAGCCTGATGTTCCCAGAACTGCAGTTCTGGACCCTGGACAGGGGACTGAAGGACTCTCAAGGTAAGGAGTGAGGCCTGTATTGGGTGTGTGAGCAAAAAGAAGGGTCTCTGCACTCGTGAAAGACTTCATGTGATTGTTAATAACCAAACAAGTTTCTGCAACAATGAAGAAATGCACTTGACCATTTACAGCAAAACAGATTGATACAATAAAAACAAGTAACTTACGGCCTTGTCTACCTGCAAATGAACTCCTTCAGCAGGCACACACAATATATTGCTCAGTCATAAAAATATATATTATCTCTTTCCTTTAACATTTAGGTATATAAATATTTTACTGAAGAACATGCATCATTTAGATAAACAATGGCAAGAACATCCTCTGAAAAACATAGGGTTCTTTGACATTTAGCAGTATAAAACGAGTACATAAACAGCTATTAAAGTCAAGACAAACCAATACAGCAGGAAGCAGTTCTTGTGCTAGTCCAAAGCACCTT